TAATTTCAAGAACAAAAGAGAACAATAAGTAAAAGAAAGGGAAAAAAAAAAAACAAGAGGGGAAGGAAAACAAGTACAAGCTTGTTACATACCCTGCTGTCTGTCTCTAATTTTGTTTTATGTTAGTACATGATGTGTATGTTAAAAGACAGAGAAGAAGAAGAATAAGGAGGAGAAAAATGCCTGGCTTCCCAAGTATGCCTACGATAAACCATGAAGGCTTAGCTGAAAACCCCCCAATTCTTCACAAGAAAGTAGAGAATAATGGCCAAAAGGAGCCATCAAAACCTCCATTTTCTTCTACCTTCATGGTGCTTTTGAGACCAGAGCTGCCTATGAGGAGAAGCATGGGAAACAGTTGATGAGGAGGAGGAAAGACAGGAAGACAGAGAAGTTCTCTCATCTCTGACACTGTGATATATAGTTATTGAGAGTGTTTTGGGGATATATATATTGCTTGTTTGTATTGTTTTATGATTATAGAAAGGCATAGAGAGACCAAGCAGACAAGTTAATGTTCCCAAAACTGATGAAGAGGACCAGCTTTCTTTGACTGTAAATATGGAAGGCCGGCTTTGGTTGGGGTATGTTTTGTCTGCTCAGCGTGGGGAGGGATTTTATATTCCCTTCTCTTCAGTTTTTCTCCTTGTCCTAGGCATCACACTATTATTATTATAATGAGGAGGAGGATTTACATATATAGCATTCAAAATATTAAAATAAAATAAAAAATAGCACCTTCTACTAGAATCCCATCATCCCCTAATGTATTTCTAGTCTAGTGGCATTTTGTCGTCAATTTGATCACTTTCACATGCTATTGATTGCGCTTCTAACCCTCATGCTTGTTCTCTTTTCTTGACCTCTCTCAGTCTCTCCACTCTTATAGAAATACTCAGCAAGAAGAAGCAAGGAATTATGATAGAGCTTATAGGTCGAGGCATCGATGGGTCTAGGCAGGGGGTGACACTCATAATCTCGATGCGAGAAGGCAACGCGAGCTCAAGGACGAAGTTGAATAATTGATGTACATGAGCATTGAGGTGTTTCTATTTTTTAGTTGTTTCAACAAAAGATGACATCTTAGTTCTTTCAATTGGAGAATGACCCACCCATGTTCATGAGTATTACCTATTACGTTTCAATTTTTTTCTCTTGTTGATAATTGATTCCATTAATAGACCACTCGATACCATATTTGACATCATTGTCGTATTTCATTTTTCTCACCAAGATAAGACATTAGACGAGTTTCGGCTAGACTCTCTTACGGAGTTATCGGAGTATTAGATTGTAAAAATGGTAAAAATTTATATGTTAAATATGTAAATCCTAAGATTTTAGATGTTATATATGTAAAATATCCTAGTCATATATGTGGCTGGGCAAGAAGATTGTTCAAACATTAATGATCAAGATGACTTTAACAATGAAAAACTCTAAGAAATGATCTCATAAATATAAAATAACCTGAGATAAATCTCAATTATTACAAATACTCTCATTACAATATTAAACCTCAATATTAAATATCCTTGAATATATAAAAAAAATATCATAAATTCATATAATAGAGGACGATGTTACACATAGAAGATGATTTTGATTCATATGAATACGGCCAATGAATCTGTATTACTATATTGCCAATATAGAACAGGAATGGAGATATTCAAATTCAAACTTATAGATTAGAAGTGCCGGATTTTGCTACTTGACAACTGTGTTGACCAGACTCGATCGCTCTGTTTATTTCGAATTTTAAGAGCTGACCTCAACTTTAGTGTTGTCACTTTCTATCCGTCGGTATAATTCAATCATATAGTTGTAGGAAGGTACGTCGGCCTACCTTTTTATAGAGGGTATAACATTTTAATAGTCAACCCGTATTAATTATAGTGTTTTCAGCCAGCCTTTCTTGATCACATACAAACACATTTATCTTGTATCAGTCACATCATTTTTTATACGCAATTCAATATTATATATGAAATGCATAAAATCTATATACTATTCATTAACTTTAAGAAATTATAACTATCAATTTATCTAATGAAAATCAATAATATTATAGTCAAAATGCTAATAAGATTTATTTCTTATTCAAAAAGTTACGCGGTAAAAGTTTAATAAATCGGAAGAAAATGTCTTTTTATATATTTTAGAGAGAGAAAATCCATGAAAACAAATCATTGAAAATAGTGGTAGGAATCGGATTACCTGCCACGATCACAAAAAAAAAAAAAAATCCACAATATATTTGATAAATGAAAATGCCCCAAATTGCTTTCTCTCTTCTTCTCCTTCTCTCTTCTTACTTCCCCGACAAGCAAGCTGCGCTCTAGCCCAAATGTTTAGATTTTTATTTTAAAATTATTTTCACAATTTTAGGTTATTATGATCTACCACCATAAAAAATGACGTCAACAATATTTTCACAATCAGTATGAAAACAAATTAATTCGAAAATAAATTCAATACAAAACAAAACAAAATCAAAATCAATTCAATTCGTCAAAATCAATTAATTCAGTTAAAAAAAAAAATATTACAAGCCAATATTAAATGCATATAATTGAGAATTCTATTGGGGGATCCTCTAGGTATATCAATGTTCATCCTATTGAATTAGACTATAAATTCTAGGTCGTACTCGTGCTAGTGCTAAGGTAACAGAATGTGCTGACTCTCTATGACCTTCACTAGCTCCTCTTTAATTAGTCCTATACATGGATCATTCATTGTATAATCTAGATCCAATAGTCCTCTATCTATAGCTATGTATGGACTATTCCGATCTAGATTTTGATCATGTTCCTTATCGCTATTGTGGATAATCAACCATTCGGTATCCTCATTGTCCACATATGAAATACTGTCCAGTTATCAGAAAGCACTGTCAAGTATGCCTCTTACCACATTGGGCGCACTCCCTACAAATGCCTTTGATCCTTTCTACTAATAGAAGATCTACCCTTCTTTTCATTGTTATCTCCTCAAATCATATGGTCTCTGAAATGCTTCCTACATGGAACTGGCAAATCATTTTCTACTAATTTGGCTCTCTCGACTAATTCAGAAAATTCTTGAATCCTCAGTGATACTAGCAGATGTCTCAGCTCATCCTTGAGCTCTCTTATAAACATATAATTTTTTTCTTCTTTTGTACTAATCAAATGTGGAGCGTACATGTCTAATATAGTAAATTTCGCTTCATACTGCATCATCGTCATGTTACCCTACTCCAATCACATAAAGATCTCCTCCATTAGTTGTTGGGCAGAGGGAGGTATGAATGAATCTATGAATATAGCTAGAAAACTCTGCCTACAAAATTTTTATATTTACTTTTTTTTTTTAACTTCCCAGGCTACCATCCAATCCATCACTTTTCAGCCTCTCCTTCAAATAGCAATGTAGCGAATGCCGAATGGGACTTTCTTGCTCTCTAGATACTACATATTGTTGAATATCTTTTCAATCCTTAGTAACTAATCTTATGCAACTTGTGGTTCTACTACTCTCTTGAATAATTGTGGCTTCAATTTATGAAACATTTGCAAATGTTGATCCTCTTCTGCTTCCCTACATCCAGTTTGTTTACTTTATGCATCATTCATTATCTGTGCAAGGATACTGGCAAGTTACATTTTCATTTGCTTGATTTGACTAAACGGACTTGAATTGGATCACTCGTGATGTCGATAAGTTCGTCTCACCGAGAAGTATGAAATCAAAGTTTGGATAAACCTAAATTTGATTCCATATTTAAATTTAATTTTGCATCAATATTCATGCCCAATCAAATTGATTTTTAATGATGTATTAGTACAATAAAATAATCAGTAAAAACATAATAAAAAAAACAAATTGTGTTTTAACTGAACGAAATATCTTATATTTGTTTATGTATTTTCATTCAATGCATGCAAAAGAAATTTTTTTCCAATTAGTTAATGTGCATTGGATCCAAATTTGTTGACCAAAGTTAAATAGGCGTCTTCATTCTGGAAGGAAATTTGGACTTTATATAGTCATGATAGTGAGAATTGGAATAATATATATGTTGTTTATTTTCTTAAGAAAATATACATAAAGTTTATTTCATATCAAATTATCCCTAATTTTACCACAAACAACTTCTTGAATCCTATCACTAGGGTAGGGAGAAATTGGTTCGAAATTGACCTAGCTCAATCATGATTCAAACCTAGCACGAACTCATTTCGAATCTAGTGCGAACCAAATTTGAACCTTGGGATTTCATGTAATTGTGGCATACGAGGGAACCAAAGCATGGAGAAATTATTCTGTGCGAACACCATGCCATTCAGAGACGAATCAGAATGCGTCATATCACCCGGCACACAGCGTTACACAACCATGATACACAACAAAAATTGATGTGACATCCTGATTCATCCTGATTCACCACCGGACAGCATCCGCATCCGCACAGAATAATTTTACCAAAGCATGCAAGGGAACCACAACATGCTTGTGGTTGGCTATGAAAATTTACTCAAATTCTACTTATTTGATCAAGCAAAAAAAAAATCTTCGAACCTAACACAAATCATTAATTAGCTTATTTTGACACCCATTTAGTAGCCCTTAGTTATGCTGACATACTTGCCTTCAACTCAACTATTGCAACATTTTGAAAAGAAAAATGACACAGATAATCGAGCGATCCCAATACAAATTTAAATTGATTTCTGATACATACTCATGTTGAAGTAAATACAATGATATTAAGGCTTCGTTTGGGACAGCATTTTTATTGATTATTAAAACAGAGTTTTAGTGAAAAAAAAAAAAGTTCAAATTTTTAACTAAAATTTTGTTTCAAGAAGCAATAAAATTGCCGTCCCAAACGAAACCTAAGGCTTAGTTGGGATAGCTTTTTATCGTTTTCTAAAACAGTTTTCTAATACAAAAATGTTTAATTTAAAAAATTCTTTATTAAAAAATTGCTTTACAAAGCAGTAAGAAAATCATTTCAAACTAAGCAAAGAGTCAACTTGATTAAAATATGACCTGAGCTAATATTTTTCATAACATTTTCGCCATCTGAGCAGAAGATTATAGGATTAATCAGTTTAGCTATAAATAACAGTAGCACAGCAAGATCCATGCAATTCATTAATACTTACATGTTCAGTAAAAGGCACATCTGGAGAGCACCAACCTTTTCATCCATTGAAAGGCCCTCAAAGATTGTGAAGTAACAAAAATGGATTTCCAAAGCTGCGCATCATTTGCTCATTCATGCTGTTCGTAAATCTGCATGTAGGCCTCTGAGAGAGCAACCATTTGAGGAAGAGTTTCTGTTACATGAAGGTCCTGCATTTCATACCTGAAAATCATCATAGAGGCAGAAAGGTTTCCATTAAAAGAGATAAAGCAAGATGGGAGATTAGCTTAAGGTTCAACTTATTTGTAAATCATACCATAATTCTTCTGATTTGCATTGGACAAAAACCCTGTAATAACCTTCACCTGGCTTCCCATCATGAACTATGTTTGCAATGAGATCATATTTTGATTTTAGTTTCTCATTCTCCTTTGGGGTGGGCAAAGGGATGTAATCCTTCAATTCAAGGTTCTTCACAGGAAAGTTCACTGTTTGGAGAATGAAAAAACAGTAAAAAAAAAAAGTCACTCAGAAAGAAGAAATTTTTAAGTTGGACGGCTGTAACTATGTATAAAGAAAGCAACAACATACCTAGAGTGGGGTTCTTTTCTACGAAGAAGTTATTTTTGGTAAATCTACGCATGTGAAGAATTACATATTTTGGAAGTTTCTTAACTCGGTATCTCATCCTAGCAATGCAAGGTCGAACAACCTCCGTAACAGTCTCACCATCAAATTTCTTTAATATGTTGAAAAGAGGAACCTAGAATGGAAAAAAAAATATCAGAAATGTAACCCACCCCAATATATACATCAATATATACATGAGAGAGAGAGAGAGAGACTCTGTAGACCTCATTATTGAATTTAGAACACAAATACATAGTTATCAGAACAATAACATTGGCAGATAAAAAAATGGATGCAGCTGCGGAACAATGGAAATTTGGCAGCTATAATTCATGTACAATGTAAGAGAGAACTGGTGATGCAGGACTAAAATGTTTTTTAAATGGATCCGTTAAGAATTGCATGATTTCTTGATAAGAGCAATTAAGATTAGAACTATTAGCAAATTCAAACGATCAAATAAAACATAAGAGTGGTCACTTCCCTTTAGGCTAAGTTGCACACTAAGCACTTGGATTATCAAAACAACATAGAAAATCAATTCATGCAAATAGAATAGTTTTCAACAAAAATCCCTAATCTAACAATAAGATTAGAAGCAAATAAAAGTGCACTCAATCCTACGTTTACTAAGCTTTGGCAATGGCGAGATAAAATCCTACGTTTACTAAGCTTAGGCAAAGGTGAAGCTCGGTTCCTTGTGAATCTCCATCACCTACAAGATTAGGGGGATTAGATAAGTAAATAAAAAAAAGGGGAATAAGTTCACCCTTATCAAAATCAAGAAACAAGTAGGCGAGGTGTTGAAGAAGTTTGATGTAGCTTCTCGTGAAGGAGAAGAAGTCTCTCCCAAGCGTCAAAGTGTGGAATGTAATGATCCTTTGCTCGCCTTGAAAAATCCTTTTGCGAGAAAGAAGTTTCCCTCAAGAATTCAAGTGGGAGAAGGTCGTAGTCTGTTCTGGATCAGCCATCCATAGATGTTTTGCTGCTTTGAGTTGGGAAGTGTTGGACGGCAAGGACAAGCTTTGTTGAGGATACTATGGTGATGGGGAGCCAATGGGAACTAGTAGGCAGCAAACTGCTTCCTTGAAGCAGCCTTTGGAAGCTTTCAGGTTGAAGGCAAACCAAAGGGAAAGTGCAGAAAATTCAAGCAGCAACTGGGAGTGCAGGAGACTTATGAGACGACTCAGTTTTGGGAGGATTTTGGAGAAATAAAACCAAGCAAAACAGTTCAGGAGGAGGCGGGTGAATTGTGGCCAGATTTTGGAATTATTTCCAATTCAGGAGGCTGAAATAAGTGGACAGATTTTGACGTGACCTCTTGGAGAATTGGCTCAGAGAAAGGCTTCAATTGTTTCCAAGAAAAGGAGGTAGCATTAGGAAACTAATTTAATTTTAATCCCATGAGGGAGCCGGCGGCTTATGTAGGAAGGAAGGGATTTAATGTGGTAACTAATGCTTAATTAATAAATCAAGATTGGCAAGAAATATCTCATCCTCTCTTAATTTAAAATTTAAATAAAAATTGATTTAATAGGTTTCCTAAAATAAGACTCATAATTTAAATAACCATTTGTAATTCAAATTGATTTGAATTTATTCAAATATGAGTTACCAAATTTATGAAACCTAATTTAGGAAAGAAGTGAGAGCAAGTGAGAAAAGAGGGAGGGGCCAAAGAGGGCCGGCGGCAAGGTGGAGGCCATGGGTGGTGGTGAGGGGAGAAGGGGTCGGGTGATGGTGGAAGGGGAGTTAGTTTTAACCAAGGGAGAGGGGGAGTTGTATGGTGGCCGGCAACTTAAGCCAATGGGGAGGAGCTCTAGGCCGGCGGCTAGTTGAGGGAGGAAAGAGGGGAGAAGAAGATAGAGAAGGTAGAACCACGAACTCGGTCGTCTCCAAGGTTGGTGGGTGATATGATTCTCCCTCTCCTAGGGATTTCTCCAAAGTTCTCTCCAAGAACTCTCAAACGCTCTCAAACACACAAGTGCAAGAAATTTTTCATAATAATCATTCATTAACTTTGGAAGAGCAGCATGAGGGCTATAAATAACCTCTTACAAAATAACTCAAAATAAGAAGACGACAATGCTCTTAGGGCTTACACACGACCTCCCTTAAGTAAGGGGTAAAACAGGAAAACAATTAAAACATGAATAATAAAAGACAAATAACATAACAAACGACAAATACATGAAAATGACTCAAAAATACAATGACTCGATCGTGGCCGTAAATCGATGGCTACGCCTCTGACATACGATTCATTCTCTGATGTCCTCATCATTCTCCCGAGGTGGGAGGAAACTCGACTCCGTCGAGTAAACATCTGTGGTGCTCTTGTAGATCTCTAATGCATCGAGGTCAAACTGCTGCAGCTCCTCGCGATCCAGCCAAGTATCATCTGACTTGGGCTTTCCTCTCCACCTGATCAAATATCTCTATCGTGCACCTTCTCTTGTGGAGATGATGTCATCACTTAGAGTCGAGTTCACCTTTTCTGCCATGGGTGATTGGGGATTATTTGGTAGTAGAGGTGGGCTTGGGTTCTCACACAGTGGGGTCACACAAGGCTGCTGTATGAGTGGATTTGATAGGTTGAATTCAGGACCTTCATATGCAACTAGATCTTTTATGTTAAAAGAGGGATTGAAGTTGAATTCTGCAGGCATAACTATTTTACAGACATTATCATGGAATTTCTTAGTCATTTTGAATGGTCCAGCACTCTTAGCATACAGCTCCTTAACTGTTCCGGACGAATCCGCACCATCACGGAGTCACCAACCTCAAAAGTTCTAAATTTTCATTTCAGATCGGCATATAGTTTGTAATCGTTATTGCTCTTTTTAAGTTGTCGTGCAATTTCTTTATGAGACCCATGCATATGAAATGAAAATGATGATGCAGACTCAAAATTCCTATGCCTAGAACACATGGAAATAAGGTTTAGTGGCAGTCTGGTGTGAACCCGTAAACAATTTTAGAAGGACCTAAACCAAGGGTGCAAGTCACTAAATCATGGTAGTCGAGTCCAACTGGGATACGATCAGATAGGGAGGCTCCAAGGACTGGATCTAGAACATATGAAATGCCTCTAATCGGGGGTAATGGATCGGGAAGACCATCAGGATGGATCTCAACAAGTCTACTAGGTGTGAACTGACTCTCATGAGGGACTAATTCGTCAGACTCAATGGGAGTCTCATGATCGACTAAGGTGTGTACAGGCACGCTCTGGGCTATGGCGGCTATCAGGTTCAGTCTCTTCTTGGATTTGACAGGGTTGGATTCAGGATCATCCGAAACCCGAGGCTGTGATGACAAAAGCTTGATCTTTTTGCCCTCATTTTCAAACACGCAGATGTTTGAACGACCATAGATGTGGACATCGTTGTCAAATAGCCAGGGGCGACCTAGAAGGATTTGTCCAACATTCATGATCAACACATCACACAAAGCATTCTCCTTATAGTCAGCAAAGGAGATAGGTATAAAACTACGTTCTTTTACCTCCAAGGCAGTGGTGTTGACCCAAGCTACCTTATAAGGGTTCGGGGCAGACAGGCCAAGCTTAGACACCATGCTGGAGGAGACAACATTGATGCAGCTACCACTATCCACGACGACTTTACAGTTCTTATCCTTGATTTTAGTGTAGGTGTGAAAGATCGTAGTCCTATGCCAGTCGTTGGTGGTACAGTGCACATCTCGCCACGCAGGTGGGAGAAGTGTCAATTTTCTGGATGTACTGGATGACAACAGTGTCGTCATCATCCTTAAAGAAATCACCATCATTGTCCACTTGGTGAATCTGGTCGATTTCGGGATCGAATTCCGCTTCAGTGATCTCCTTGATAATCGTGACTTTATAGGAACTAGAGCACTGAGAGGCGATATGCCCATACCCCTGACATCTAAAGTATTTGGTCCCAGGGTTAGATCGAGGGGTATCCGGAGTGGGAGGTTTACTTCTAACATCAGGACGAGGAGTGGGGGAACTAGACAAGGGTCGGGTAGTGCTTAACGGGGTTGGTTGGGCAGTGGGGGTGTGAGGGGTGGAACTACCAGAAGGTCTGTAGGAAGGCCTAGAGTCATGTGAACGACTCAGGTGCTGTGAACGGGTCTCCTTTAGATCAAGCACTAAGCTGTAGGCATTTTCCAATGTAGTGACATTCAGGACAAACAGCTCATTCCGAAGATCCTCTCGCAACCCGGTTCGAAATATAGAAAAGATCTGCGCGGGGGTGGTAGAGGTCTCCCCTTTGCAGCGAATAAAGAAGTCATCGAAAGAGGCGATGTACTCCTTCACTGGTTTGTTGCCTTGAGTCAGTCTATTCCACCTGTCCAATAGTCGGGGGAAGTACGACGGAGGCCAGTACTTCTGCTTAAGTTCCCGCTTCATGGACGGCCAATCGACAATGGGGTAATCATTCCTAGCTTCCCTAAGGCTCTCTAAGTTGGCCCAAAATTGACTTGCCCTACCCGTGAGCTTCATCTCCGCAAAACTGACCTTCCTAGCCTCGGAGATGTCATACCACTTAAAGAAACTGTCCATACCTTTGACCCAGTCCAGGAAGAGCTGGGGATCGAGTGTGCCATCAAAGGTAGGAGCGTCAACCTTAATATTTTTCATAAGTGGTGCATATGGATCATGACGTGGGTCATGTCCGTGGTAAGGTGCTCGATGATTGGCACGGTGCTGCCTTTCATCCAAATCTGGATCATGACGTGGGTCATGTCCGTGGTACGGAGCTCGATGATTGGCACGGTGTTGCCTCTCATCCGGGTAGGTATCATCCCCATACATGGAAGTTGGTCTAAATGGGGTGTAGGGAGTAGGGTACTCTCGAGCTCAGTGGTGTTCCTACGGAGCTCAGCTAGGTCGACTTGGTTCTCTTTAAGTTGTTGGCTAATATTGTTCATTTGGCCTACCAACAAGTCTAAAGTCCTTCCTAGTTGTTCCGGGTCCATTGCTAGACACTAGGGGTTATTTGGGAGTGAAACAAAGTTGTGGACATCACCTATCACAAGAGTAGACTCCCTAGAATGACACTAAATGGTGCAGGAATTATTTGGACAGCAACTAAAACAAAGTGCAAAGTGTTCTTAGACAACTAGAAGAGTTATTACAAA